CCTTGTCTATTTGTGCTCCACAAAACTTCCGAAGCTGACGCTTTCATTATGGGAGCAATCCATCGAACAAAAAACCGAAATTCCTACGTGGCCGGAACTTGATTCATTCCTAACAGAGCGCTATAGAACTCTGGAAGCCATAGATTCTCTCCAGCCTACTGTGACACGTTTTCGTTCATCTAAACCGATAAGTTCCAACCCATCGCCACGAGTACTACAATCCTTTAGTACGAGGATTCTACATACGTCCAAAAGATGCGATTTGTGTTCTGCAGAGAACCATCCAGTGCGTTTGTGTCCACGCTTCCTTCAGATGACGATAGTCGATCGATCATCTTATATCACGAAAAAGCAGTTGTGCTTAAATTGCTTTGCAAGCGGTCATCCACTCCGTAATTGCACAAGCGCCCACAATTGTCTTACTTGTCACGGTCGGCATCACACTTTGTTGCATCCAAGCGACTCATCTTCCAGTGTTCCGATTCCTCGTGATGACACCCGACAAATATCTCCACCTATCCAACGGATTTCGTCGTTCTCTACACGAGTGACCAATGCGGCCGACTCCTTCAACTACTGGGTTCCATACAACGACGGCAAAAGCAGACGTTCCCGAGGTATTTCATCCTACCAATGCCGAGTCTGTCAAGGGAACCATCCTCTTCGGAAGTGCCACCGTTTTCTTCGGCTTGATGCGAAGAAACGGCTCCAGGCAGTCATCGACAGGAAATACTGCGTCAACTGCTTGGCCCACCACCATTCTGGAGGATCTTGCCGTAGTAACGACCGATGCCAGTCGTGTGGACAGGATCATCACACACTTCTACATGCCGACGACCGCTCAGCGACTCCAACACTTTCTCGAGCGAAGGACTTCTGATATTTTGCTGCGTATCCTCGCAAGGGGGGAGAATGTTCAGGTCAGGAGCTTATGTTCCCGCCCCCGCGACTCCGAAGCGCTCCCGCTTCTTCAAAGCTCCTCAGCTCGCTCTCTCGCTCCCGCTCTTCTAGCGGATGCTTCGGCTCTGGCCGATCGTCGCATCGCTGAGCGGCCGCTCCCGCTCTCCTAGTTGTTTGATCTCCCACTCCAGCTTGTACATTTTATTTCCTAATTAGAACTCGAATAAAGCGGATCATACGATTCTATATATATTGAAAATTACCACGCCCCCCCCCGGCCTACTTTCTTTGCATTTGGTGGTGATTTTTCTCTTGCGCGATTTCGATATTTCTACTCCGGTGTTCTTTTCACTGACTGCGGCGCGGGAAGTGGTTTTTTTTTGTGCCTATCTGGAAATTGAAGGAAGTCTTCCCCCCTCGAGCCGAACAGATATAATACCGGAAATCGTAATATTCGAGGAAGAGGAGCAAAGACAGCAACTCGCCGGATCAGCGGTGAGATACAGAAGGGACAAAAACCCGGCAGAGATAAGACCGGAAAGCAGAGAAGAGGAGCAGAGCAGCGAGGAAGAACAAACAACAAGCGCAAAAGCTCGGATCAGAGCAGCGAAAAAGGAGAAACTAAACAGAACGATGGAAAAACGAGAAAAAAAAAGAAAAATGGAGTGGAGAATGGAAACAGAGGTGGTTGACCGAGTACGAAGCTGGGGCATCCGGTACCAAGGAACGACGAACCCACTGGAATTCTTAAACAAAATGGAGCAGTGGGCGTCCGGATACGGTATTCAGGAGAACTAGCTAATTCAGACCATGCCGTACAAATTGGAAGGAGCCGCCATTAACTGGTGGAACCAACTAAAATCAGTACATGGAAGCAACTAACGGCGGAACTGCTAGAGTACTTCCTGCCTCTAAGATATGAGGAACGACTGGAAACACAGATCACACGGCGGGAATCAGAACCAGTAAGGGAATACGCGATGGGACTAAGGAAGCTAATGCGATTGACGAAACTGTCAGAGGAGGAAAAGCTCGACCGCATATTTACCTACTGTAGAAGCAAGATCAAGCTCTACACGCGGAGATCAGGATTTAGGTCGCTGACAGAGTTCCTCAAACTAGCAGAGGAAGTGGAGGAGATTGAAGCAGCGGAAAACCAGACGCGATGCGGCTGGAAAGGCCATGCGGGTCTGTGGAAGAAACGACATCAGAAGAATGGAGTGCTGCAGAACAGGACCGGGAAACGCAGGAGGCCTGATAAAGCTGGCAGCTCAGGTGACAAGTCTAGAGCCAGCACCGGGAAAACAACTGATTTGTTTTGAATGATCACAGCAGATATCCAATTCGCGGGAAAAGCATTCAGCCTGACATTCCTGATACTGAAACAGGTCGCAGGCGGGATATTTTTAGGAATGGATTTCCTGGCTGCGGTGCGGGAAGTTGGAATTGGAAATAACAACCATAGAGGACAGGGAAAGTGAGGTGGATCCTGCAGCCAATGGAACCGACACCGAGATGCCAGAACCATCAGATGCAGAAATACAAGCGTTCCTGAAAAGTCAAAGGCAAGTATTCCAGGGGTTACAGGGAGTAAGTAACATTACGAGACACACGATATACTTAAAGGACGACAGACCTATAAGGCAACGGTATTATCCACGAAACCCAAAGCAACAGGCAATAATTAAGCAGGTGGACGAGTTGTTGGCGTTAGGGCTAATATAGCCTTCGCGCAGCCCATATAGCGCGCCAGTGGTACTGGTAAAAAAGAAAAACAACACGTGGAGGATGTGGATAGACTATCGACTATTGAACGAAAAAACGGAGAAAGACGGTTACCCGGTACCAAGGATGAATTAGATACTGGACCAATTAAGGGAAGCAAGTTTCATAATTACGATAGATCTATAATCAGGATACTGGCAGATCCCAATGGAGAAAAACAGCCAGCAATACACGGTGTTTACAGTACCGGGGCGGGGGCTGTTCCAGGATTGACGACAGCACCAGCAACATTCCAGCGGGCACTAGACACGATAATAGGCCCGGAAATGGAACCGTTTGCGTTTTCCTACCTAGATGACAGTGGTCATTGGACGGAGCAAGCGAGAGCATCTAAGGCGCGGTAAGTAACGTGGAACGGACCCACAGCGCCACAGAAAAGGAATGCCTCGCGATATATTGAGGCATCAATAAGTACAAGATGTACTTAGAGGGCAATTAATTTGGACGTGAGACGGTTCGTCAGGGAATGCCAGTGCTGCCAGCGATACAAAGTATCTCAGCAGAAAACAGCAGGCAAAATGTTGACAAGGATCGCGGATGCACCCTGGGAAACGATGTGTGTCGATTTTGTCGGATTTTGTCGTTGCTAGTGATAGTAGATAAATTCTCTAAATGGGTAGAACTTGCAGCAATCCGACAGGCAACCGCAGATGCGTTCTTAAAAATCTTTAGAGAAAGGGTAATAGCAAAAATTGGGGCGCTAAAGATACTGATCTCGGACAATGGGGTCCAGTTCACGGGGCGGAAAACAAAAACCGCTATGGGAAAATGGGGCGTGCGGCAACAATTTACGGCGCCGTACACGCCCCAGGAAAACCCAACAGAGCGCACCAATCGCACCGTAAAAACGATGATAGCGCAACTGGCAGAAGAGAAGCATAAGAAATGGGATGAGCACCTACCGGAGCTAATGTTGGCGTACAACAGCAGCACGTCCGAGTCAACCAAATTCAGCCCGGCGCAGCTGATATTTGGGAAGGAGTTAAGGCCACCAACACGGTTTTCGACGCCGTAACGGCCGGGTCAGGACTAACGGCAGAAAGTGTGGTTACCAGATGGAAGAGGCTGAGCAACCTTAGAGAAGAAGCCACAGCGAACATGCAAGAAGCAGCAGAAAGACAGAGGCAGTACTACAATTTGCGTAAACGAGAGTGGAAGCCGGCACTTACTTTCCAAGGCGGCGGACAAGTTCAACGCCAAACTAGCGCCAAAATATGACGGGCCATGGAAGGTAGGAAAATGCATATCCCCGGTAATAACACAGCATGGATCACGCAGGATGGAGCGACAACTTGACAAGAGCCAACAAGGTGACGCTGGTGGAACACAGCGCCTACAAAAGGAGGGAGGAGTGTGACGTACAACGCACAAATAAGTAAATATAAACATGGTATATATATATTATATATGTTAGAAATAGAATTAAGAGACAAAACACATTAAGTCAAAGAAACAAGGAAAGAATATATATATGTTAGAACTAGAATTAAGAGACAAAACATGAAGTCAAGGAAACAAAGAAAACATTAAGAAATACAGTAAACTGCCCGCAAGTCAAGAGCGCTAATTCAAATTCAAATCAAATAACGCGCCATAATCAGAGACAAAGGGTCACACTGGCCCAATAGGCGTCTGGCCACACTATTATGGCAAATTCCTTCGGGTGCGACAGCCACACTCGACCGCTCCAGAGCTCTATACATATAAGGCGAGCTTCAGCCCTTGGGAGGCACAAGATCATTCTGGCATGTAGTTATTTAAAAAAATATTTATTTTTGACCGCACCTCAAATTTGATAACAAAATTTTTGCCGTGTTCAACCAGTTTTCTCGTTTTAGCGATAGGCCGATAAGTTCACAGCAAAAAGTTATCGCCAAGGTTGCCATATTGTTGGTGGAACGATACAGCCAGTTAAAAATAATAATAAATTATAAATGAATACATTAATAACTTTAAAGGAGCGCCAAAATGGTTGTTTATAAATAATGCTATTTAATTTGATTACTTAAATTAACCAAATAATTATTTGAGACCACCGGAATTAAAACTGTGAAAAGTGTGGCAGCATCTTAGATGCCTAGATTTGCTTAACTCTAGCATTTTTTTTGCTTTTTCTGGCTTAGAAAAAGGGCAATTGTAAATATAAAAGGCAGTACTTCACGTTGTTTGCTTATTACCAAAAACACAAGTTAGTTCTAACATGAGAAACGATGAGAAAACGAAACATTCTGAAAGCAGAAATTTGCTGAAAACCGGAGCAGCTAAAAACGAAAACGGTTCGTTTTCGCCCAAAAGTGGTAATGCTTGAATAGTGGAAACACCTTGTTGTCTTCTATACTAGGAGCCGATAGAATATTTTATTTTATCGAAATAAAATACAGTGCAGTTTTGTTTTATTTACAAAGATGGCGGACAGACTAACGCAGCTGCAAGACACTGTCAATCAGGTATAAATGTTTTTAACATTTTTAAAATGCATGTTAACCATTCTATTTTGCAGCAAGCGGAGCACTTTTGCAATGCGATAGGTGTTATTCAACAAACATCTTACCCAAGTAAGTTTGCCAATTTCGACAGAACTGGATCCCAAACGCCAACTTCTAATCAACCTCAAGAGGATTATGCTCAGCTATTTGCGCAATTAATTGCAAGATGCGCCAAGGATATTGACACTTTAATTGAATCATTACCAAATGAAGACAGTTCCATTGAGTTACAAAATTCTAGCCTTAAGAGACTAGAAATGGAAAATCAAGAAACAGCGCTTCAACTTGAAATTGTGGTACAAAAAGGAGAGCTTTTACTGGATAAAATACAGTCAGCTTTAGAAAATATTGCTCAAGCTCAGTTAGACATGCAAACACATAAATCCAGTTTTCACTAAAACAAAATTTATTACTTTCTAAAATTAATAGTTTTTTCATAACTTATGTATTCTTAATGTTAATAATTTAAATATTTACAAGTATAGGTATATATATATATATATATGTATCTATATATTATTTAGACTGTTTGTAACTTAATATATTATCATTACTCATAAAATTACGCATTTGTCTCATTTTACAAAGGAATTGCAAGTAAAATAAATATAGCTAGTATTTGTATATATATGTTTGCGTCTGAGTAAACACAATAAATTTACATTTGTCAAAAACTTTTAACATACGCGTTTCATTTATAGAAGTATTCACATATTTTATGCTTCAGTTAAGGGTACCACGGCATCCTTGGGCTCCACATAAACAAGGTATTTTTTCTTCTTCCAGCGGAAATTTGTAATCGTATGTTATTTCCTCATTAATGCCTATAGGTTGCTTTGAATATATAACAATTTTTTTTTCAGACTCTATAGTAATGACCTTTGCATAGCAATTTGGCTGAAATTAAAAAAAAAAAAAAATGCATTAAAAATTTTAATAGCAGATATTCAGCATTCTTACATTGCAACTGTGATTAATAAATCGAGCCAAGTTTCCACATTTAGTAGCATCGATTATAGTTTCCATGTCAATCCGGAATAAATAAGAACTACCAATTCCAATAGCTTCATATTTTGTTTCTCTTAAATCCGCAACCACAGGTCGTATCATTTGACCTACGTATTCAATAACCATTTCGTCTGCAGCTATAGGCTCCATTGCAAACAACCCCCAGTCATGTATAGCAGACTTAGCAAACTTCAACTGTTTTTTCCGAAACTTGAGCTGATTAAATTTCAAAAGCTCAGATTCGCCCATAGAACCAAACGCCGTTAAAAGTCGTCTCTGGTTTGACCGCGCTTCTCGGGATATGCCTTGCATTTTAGAAATTAATTTATTATGATGATGATTGGTAAGAGCTGTAGGATCATCAGTACGGTCTTCATTGAAAGCATCCTCTGTATTTGCTTTTGTATGATGGTACTTATGTTTGGCCTTTTCTCTGACATCCAATTTATAAAATCCTTCAGTCCGAGCGCAACCAGTTTTATGATGCATTAGTTCGTCATCTTTTCTACGCTTCTTTGGCGGTGATGGCCAAAAGGCGCGGTCAGTTGTACAATGATCTACCCAATGCGTATTGTTTAGAAACATACTAGAAAAAAGAGGCAATTATTATATTTCATGATTTGCTTATAAATATTACTTACGCATATGGTTCTTTTTGCAAATGCTCCGAATAACTCGTTTTTATATAGTTAATGTCTTCAGTATCAATGCCTTTTGTAAGGAAAGTGTATAAGATAACCATTTCCTCATTTTGATCACGAGCTCTATATATTTTATTTGGAACAAAATTCGTCGTCTGTCGCGCTAGCTCGACCAACGACTTTTTAATTGGTTCTATTTTCATCTTTACATTCGTTTTTCGTGGTATTAGGTCTTTCTTTTTTCTTTGAGTACGAGTAGAATCCTTCCGTGGTCTGCCTGGCCCTGATCGTGTTATTTGACCAACACCAATCATATTAATTTCCCGTTTATGATCCAACAGTTTTGTACTCTGATCATCAAGCTTATAATACGGGATGCTGGAGAAAACACACTGCGCTTGCGGAGGCAATGAGTAGCAATGTTCTAGCGCAACTTGGCTTGCCTGTGATGCTTGACTAGATCCTCCGTCTGATGAGGCCGGTGATTGATTTATTTTATTTTCTTCATTAGTATTTGTGCATATTTTTATGTAACCGTGATCATCACCATCGCAAGGTTTTAACGAACGCAAATCGTCCTTCAAATTTGATTTATTATTATATTCTGGTTTCTGAACTATTTCAATGCTAATATGATTTTGCAGATTCGTTTTTTTGGCAGAAAGTTGTTCATCTTGTTTATTTAAATTATTTAATAATACAATCGATTGGAGTTTTGAAATAACAGGATTCTCTGCGCGGTCGTCTAGCAGTGATTTTTTGCTGTCTACTGTTTCGCGGCTCTCATTTAAATGGTTTTCGTTCTTCCTCTCTTGTTCCTCCAAAAATTCCCGTTCAATTTGGGCCATGTACTCAGTATTTCGTCGTCTCTTCTCCTGATACTCACGTTCTTCTTCGGAGTCGCTGTAAATTCGATCATATTCAAAAGCGCATTTTTGTTTATAATCATCTATCTTTTCTATGTCCTCTTCATTGTAGTCTGGTGGGGGAACAGGTGTGGGAGACCGTCGACATTCTTTATCAATTTTTCGTGTAACCCTAACCGCTGACACAAATGTGGCGTCATTTTCGTTTTCCCCTAACCCAAAACTACTATCTTTGCTGATATCTTCGAGGTCAGAGGGAAATGATAATATGATCTTATTCTTTACAGCATTTTCATTTTCTTCATCAGTATCGGAATAAATATTATTTTTTTTCGTCCGACCTCGTCTTGTGAAGCCAAATTCCTTATTTAGTTTTTTGTCTTCATCAGAATCCGAGTATATATTTTTAATTGTCATATTCTCAGTAGGTGTTAGACTTAAACGACCTCTATTTTTTATAAGTTTTTGTCGTTGGGTCCGATCTTTTTGATGACGCTCTTCTTCAAAACTATCATCATCACTGGTCCTTTCGACTCCACCACCTTCATGGATTTCATTTTCAGCTTCACTTGATGACGATGACGACGAAGAAAAGAAACTTGAAATACTTTCCTTTCTTTTTAAATTACCAACAGCTGGCAGCAAATCTTGATTTAAAACGCTCTCCTTCAAACTGGAACGTAAAATATCAGAATTGCCAATATTAGAATCTTCCTTTTCAGAGTCTGAACATTGAACCATTTCCTCCTGATCGCTAAGATCTCTATCCATTGAATGACGTTCGTTCGGACTAGGAGGACTAGGATGTTTTCGAACACGTCGAAAAGATGGCAGCTTTGGCATTGCCGCTCTTATACCTATACTTGAGAATGATTGAAAATCTAAAATTTCACGTTGCGTATTTATGAATTGATTAATGTCAGGAGCCTTCTCATTCCAAACGGTTTCTTTCTGAACATTTGAGGTAGTATTAAATGTAGATTCAGTTATGTCTACTACTGTTTTGGAACGAGCTTTTAATGTATTCTCATCCCACCATGTTTCGAAATTTTTGAAAGCTATTACTTCAATCATCCGTTTATTTACATCTCGTTTTAAGATCTGCTTTAACTCGTCCACAATATAGTTAATAACTTTTTTTAATTTTGTTGTTATTTCATCATTCTGATCTGAAAAGGTATATTGATAGTTAAATGCTTTGTCATATGGATCCAAACTAAATGCAGTAACGCCTGCCAAATACACCGGCTGCATATAAGCGGCGTTTGAAAATAATCGGCTGGTTAAACCAGAGTCCGGTGGGAGAGTGGAAGGATAGTGTCCATAGCCTGTAGCTTGATAATAATAGGGGTGTTGATCAGATGGATTTTTATATATATAGGATGAGGATAAATTATGTTTTTGAGGTATCCCATCTTCCGAAGCCAATATATCTTGGGTCGGATCCTCATGAGAAGATAAGCTCGATAAAGACATGTCATCATTTTTGTCGTTTTGAGTAGTAATATTGATTTTAGATTTGTTTTTTTTAACAAGCAATTCATCGTCACTTGAAATATCACTTGCTCCATGTTGCTGTTGTACAGATATTACACTTCTATGGACTGATTTTGATTTATTCTCTGAATTATTTGAATCTGAATTAATGTCTATAGATTTGACTTGCTTGCCTTTATCTGTTTCGGAGTCACTACTATCCATCTGTAGAAACGGCGGTGCATTTCCAAACGTTTTCCCTTTAAATATTAATGCTATTCGAGTATCTAAGTCTACATTTTCTGGTTCTGAACTTACTTCTCTTTCAGTTTTTTCCTTTGACTCATATTCAAAATTCATCGACTTGGGCGATTGACTTTTCGCGGTCGATGATTGCGAAGATGACACAATCACATTTTTTCCCAGTTTTGAATTTAGATCGTCCCAATTTTCTTCCTCATCTTGAGGTGCGGGTGGATTTATTTGAGAATGGAAGTTTGTTTGAGACGCGCTCCATTTTTTATGTCCAGTCCATGAATGAACATTTTCGGTCGAAGAGTAAGAATAATTATTGTAGCTATAGTGTCCACCAGATAAAGTAGATCCTGAAGCTTCAGAGTAGTATTGATTCTTTTTTAAATTTGAAGAGCTGTTATCAGTTTCGGAATATTCATGATAGTACCGCTTATTATATTTAAGACTTATTCGGTCCCTTCTATCTGTTTCGGTATATCGGTCGCGATCTCTGTCTCGGTACTCACGTTCTTTTGGCGAGTTATATCGATGTTCTTTTTTTCCTCTTAATTGTTCCCTCGATCGTATTCGTTCCCGAATTGTATTTCTTTCTCCAGAACGTTGATAGTCACGATCCCTCCCAATATATACTCTGTCCCTTGGAACTTCAGGACTTTTATCTCTAGACCGTTGTCTATAATAATTTCGATCATATTTAAAAGAAGCGGAATGTTTATCACGTACTCCATGCTCACGACTATAGGTTCTTTCCAATGAATGTCGACTTCGATCTTTGAAATGACGATCTCCCTCTCTATTCCTCTCCCGATCCCAGTTACGTTCTCTACAACGTACATCAAGATTATTTTGTAAAGGGTTGTAACTAGAATTTGAATGATCTAAGGAGTCAGGTTCAGTACAACCCTGAGTGAAATCACCTTCTTTCTGGGATTGAGTAGATACATTGGTACCGGTTACAGGATTTCCCACATTTCGATTTGTTAGGCTTTCGAGAGTTTTTTTTAAAATAGCGCCAAAAGGGTCGCAAAACACATTTAATATCTAAAGTAAACATATTAGAGTTTGATTATGTAATTACATATTAAAGAACATTTTCCATACCTTTCCCATCACCGACTTTTCATTGTATTTTTCCACAAACTGTCTGGCTCCTTTTGCACTTTCAAACACGATGCGGGCAATGCCCATATGTTTGTTTGTTGTAGGATGATGGTAAATATTTATTTCGTCGAATGTTCCACACTTGTCCAACATACTAGACAGAAACTGCCTATCAATGTTGTCATTCAGGTTGACAACGGTAACTTCAATAGCAGGTGGTTGTCCAACGTAATCAGTATCAATTACAAATCTGTATGTGAAGTTTTAACAGTTAGTTTATATTTATATTAATTTATATCCTTACCTAGGTATAAGCAGCATTAGTGGATCAACCGGTCTGGCACGAATACGAATAAGCGGATTGCGAGGGTCCCTTGGCGTAATTGTTGGATAGGTCGGGTCTCCTGGCACAACACCGTCGTAGCGATATAACTTCACGCCGCATTTCACCAACTGTGGATCAGCTAGGAGTTTAAAATTACGGTGCATTTTTGTGTGTGAGAGAGATGAAACATTGTTGCTGATGTTATTGTTATCACGATTGTCCTGCATTTGCCCAATGTGCCTTTTTTTGTACCAAAATTAAACAGCGTCAAAGAGCACGCCTGTTTATGATCTTTTTTATATACGTTGTTCTCTCAGGCTCTATGCACAACCCTACGAGTAATTTCCTAAAATATAATACATGTAATATGATGATTATCAATCATCAATACCACAATCAAGAATCGAATGTTTTTGTTTCCTAAAGGTTGCCTTAGATCAATAAAACATTTATTTCGTTCAACTTCAAGAGGTTTGTAGTTAATATGAAACGGAGATTTGCAAACTCGTTAAGCCAAATTCTTTTGTGTTACTTAGTTCTAGTGTACTTAAAGCAATATATTTGTGCAAATGTAACTTCACATTTTATTGTTCCGAAGAAATGAAAAAATCTTAAATGATATTATTAATACGTAAAGCCAAAAGTTCCAATAAAAACGAGGCCTCTTTTTTGCAGTATCGATTATTTTAAAAATCGATATCGTGAATTTGTTGTCGTTATAGCCTATTCTCATGAAGTATTTTTTGATGAATATAATATACACCACTAATAACCACTTCACATTCCTTTTAAACAAAATGCCAATGGCCTTATTATTAAGTAATGCAGATTTCAATAATTAAAACCTTAAACCAGTTATTATTCTCCGATTTTTTTTTATCCGACTACGCTTACACCGCTCGGCAAACAATTTAATAGGCCGCGATTCGCAGCGTATAACTATGAATTTCTAAATTTATCGTCGAAGTATTCACGCAGTAATGTATGCCGATGCCCTTAAATGCATGTTTCTTTCTTCTAATGCAAAAAAATTTTATAATTATTACAAAAAAAAATTAATTTAAATTAATTTTGCAGTGTTTTGTTAACGGTCAAAAAAAGGTTTGTAGTATATGCTATGTAGATCTATCGATTTTTGCGGCCAATGCATTGGCGTATGCATTACAATTTTGCTCTCACTTGTGAACAACCTTTAATGAAATCTCTAAATAATGCGGTAGTGTCATAATACTGTATGATATTGGTACAACATATGACACCACTCGACACCATCTACCGTCAGGCAATTTAATTTTAAACAGGCAAAAATTTGATTATATATCCTCAAACTATTCCATTTCTTCATATTATAACATTTTAAATGAAGGTGATTCTATTGCTACATCTACATTAGTTGTCGACTTGTGAACAGCTGTTTTGTTTACAATTCGATGGAGACAGCTTCTATCAAGTGGTAATTTGATAGGGTCTTCCCACAGAGCTTGCATCTGCATCCACCGTTCGTTGAACAAACGGTCCATAAGGTATTACAGTTCCGAAATTTCTCATTTTGTAATACATCCCTTATGCATCAACACTTAACGCACGTCCGTTGACGTTAGGTAGGTTATAGTTTTTGGAGCAACTCCGAAAATGTAAACAAAGATGTCGAGGAACAATTGAATTATGGAATTTAAATGTTAAATGTCGTTGGTGTTTTCCGGTATATTCTTGAACAAAAACAAAAATTCCTACTTGTTAATATAAAACGTCTACTTCTACTTGATTGTATAACTTTAGGGAGCCTATAACACCTTGCACGCTCTTCGGAGCTTTTGCTCTTGGTTGGAGAAAAATCATTAGAGAGACTCAAATTCGTCATCTAATTCATTTTTTATTTTTTTGCGGATAAAATTTTAAGCAATCTGTGGTTTTGCTGTTGTTAAAAAGCCTAAATAGTTCATAAATTATTTATTTTTTTCCCACATCAGCCGCTTCAGTCATCTTTGTTTACGTTTTCAGTGTGATCGAACAGCTGTAATCCGATGTCGGATGCAGATGTAACTTTGTGGGAACACGAGTTTCACATCTGAGAAAAACTGCTTCACGCAGATCAACTAAGTGGGAAGACAGTAAATACTGTAAAAGGCTGAAACGACCGAATTTGGAGTAAAATGAATAGTTTATGAACTTTTTAGGCTGCTTAACAACAGCAAAACCAGAGATTGCGTTAGATTTTATCCACACTAACTTAACATGTATTAGATGACGATGAATTTTGAGTCTATCTAATGATTTTTTTTCTAAAGCCTAGTACTGAGACGACAAAAATCCGCTCTAACAATTGTGATAGCTGCCAAACTCCCTATAAAAATAACGCTGTGAAATAGGAAGAAGAAGAACTTTTTCCCTCGTCGTTTTTGCGGGTACGATGACGAAGAAAATGATACTTGGGAAAATTGAATGGCGTTGCCAGATCAAGAGAGTACACAGCTGATATCGTGCTATCACAAAAATTAATTTCATTTATTCTCACAGGCTTAATGGATGGAAAGTTGTACGAAAAAATAATTGTAGGACCGAAAAATTGTGTGCCCGCATGGAGAAAGTGGCATTGATAAGTGTTGTCATGGCGAAGACCATAATATGGGATATAACCCACAAAAGGCATTTTAATGCCATATTTATTAACAAATTTGTTTGCAAACAGCTGTCCAGTGTGACCAAAAAATAAAGAATAGCTTTAAGGGGTTATATACAGTTGTGATAGATGTAAAAATCGATTTTTTTTTTTATTGCATATAACGTAAACAAAGGCTGTCGAATTGGCAGTTGCGTGCGTGCGAAACTAAAAAGCGCGGGAAAGATTTTGTTTACATGCGAGCGTGACAAAATTGTTGTGGTTTAAGCAATTTTCACTAAAATTATGGAAAAGAAAGCATAGGTATGTAGAATATTTGTATTAAAATAGACTTTGTTCATGTTTGATAATGTGCTCTTTGTGTGCGTTTATTTGTGTTGTCCAAAAGTAGAAAAAAGCTAACCTGGTAACCCATCTGTTGTAGACTATAACAAATTTTGTGACAACTTGTGCCAAAAAGTAACTATGTGTCATTAAAGTGCAAAGTGTATATAAACTAATTTTATCAGGCTTTTTTGCATCTTTTTGCCCCTATATATATAAATCCGACATATCGTAGCTGTGATTGAGTTCGCCTATGAGCAACTGCTTGATGTTTATATAGCAAACAATCGTAGAGCATCTGCCGTAACGAGTTGGATCTATGATGAACTGAAAAAATTCGACTTAAGCACGGAACAATAGTGATAGTTTTTTAGATTCTGACTCTGAAAATCAGATTTAAATAGAACTTGATGTAGAAGACGACTGTTAGGAAAATTTTAAAATGAAAAATACTTATATATAGTTATTTTGAATGCATTGTCTTTTTTACTTATTAATATTAAGGTTTAGTGTAAAAAAAATGAATTTAAAACATTTGTTAAATTTAATTTATTTATTACCGTACAAGTATCAATAAGAGGAAACCTACCATATATGGGCGGCTAGGGAAGGCGTGGTCAGATCGGTCTGAAACTTACATATATTTTTAAGTGTGCTGACACTATCATATGTACCAAATTTGAAGAGTCTAGCGTTAAAACTTTAATTTTCGTCGAAATATCGGCTCGCTGGCCCAATGTGCGGTGGAGATATTTGCGTAGAGGCATTAGGAGCAATCGGAACACTGGAGAATAAGTTGCTTGTATGCAACAAAGTGTGATGCTTGTGGTACGTGAAAAAGCTATGTGAGCTCGTGCAATCACGGAATTGATGACCTCTGGCAAAGCAATTTTGGCACAACTGCCTTTTCTGGATATAAGACGATCAATCGACTATCGTCATCTAAAGAAAGCCTGGACACAAAACCACTGGATGGTTTTCTGCTGAACACAAATCGCATATTTTGGGTATTGGACCGATTTTCGTACTATAGGAATGTGGTATTTGTGGCGCCTGCTTGGAAATTGTCTGTTTAGACGATCGGAGGCATATCATAGGAGGCTGGCGAGAATCATTGCTTTCCAGAGTTCCTATGCGCTCCGTAAGGAATGAATCAAGTTCTAGCCACGTTGGAATTTCGATTTTATGTTGAATGGATTGCTCCCATAACGAAATCGTCAACTTTGGAAGAGTCGTTGATCACAAATAAACCAGGAGGCAGTCCCAATTCTCAGTAGAAAGACCGGAACTTTTCAGCGGCGTTAGACAACTTTGGATGGTCATATGCAGCTCCTTTAAGGCTGCCGAGGATTCGCGTGCAATGGATTGTATGTTCAGTAGTTTTTTCAGTTCACTTTGCCCCAATTATTACCATTTAATATAAACCGCCTGCCTCTACCTTATTTTAAAGATTTTGGATGCCTATACCACCTATACACACTCTTCGGGGAATTTGCTCTTTGTTGGAGAAAAATCATTAGAAAAACTAAAATTCCTTGTCATTTAAATTTAGTGCGGATATAGTTGGTAACTGCTCCATTTCAAATTTGCAACTGCCAATTCGACAGCCTTTGTTTACGTTTTCATGAGCCACAGCTGATCGATCATTTGTTCGGATGTTGAATGTGCTTTGACGTTGTGTGGGAACTCGAGTTTCACATTTGTGAAAAATCCCAAACGCTCCTCACAAATGTGCTGTGTGGGAAGACAGTATTAGATGGCAAGGAATTTTAGTTTCTCGAATGATTTTTCTCTAACAAAGAGCACCCCGAAGAGTGTTTATAGGTGGAATAGGCATCCAAAATCTTTAAAATAAGGTAGAGGTAGACGGTTTATATTAAATAGTAACAATTGGGGACATATTGGGCAAGAATATACAGAAAAACACCAACTATTTTGGGCATGTTTGTAGCTTTGGCGCCACATTTTAAATTTAATTTTTCAATTGTTCCTCGCCAACTTTGTTTACATTTTTCGTAGTGTTGGTCAATTTTGCACTGTTAAGAAGAAGATATCAGAGTTGCACCGAAAAACTATCGCCTAAAAAACCGTGGTTAGATTTAGATGGGTTATAACCGCGATCCATTTGAGAAAATTCGGGACAGCAAAACCTTATGGACCGTTTGTTCAACGGACGGTGAATGCGTTTTGACGGTGTGTGGTAGGACCCTATTATATTATTTCATAGCTTCGGTTTTATTTTATGAAAATCGGACGACTATATTATACTACTACCATAGAAACGATCAGTGGATGTACAGAAAAATGTAAAGCTGCGAGTGTAAAACTGTTACTGTCAAATTGTAAATATAATAAGTATATGTAAAATGTAATGAAACTTTGTTTTTTGTGCGTATTCAGCATTTAAATTTATAAGGTTGTTACATAAGATATTTAAATCTACAATAAGCTTTTTTTACATGATTAATACTGTCTTCCCACACAGCGCATCTGTGAGGAACGGTTGGGAATTTTCGCAGATGCGAAACTCGTGTTCCCACAGAGCTGCGTCAATATGCATCTGCATCCGAACAGCTGATCGATCAACTGTGGCTCATGAAAACGTAAGCAAAGGCTGTCGAATTGGCTTTTGGAAAATTGAAATGAAGCATTTACCAACTATTTTGGCTGTTGTACAACAGCAAAAGCACAGATTGCGTCAGACTTTATCCGTTTCTCTAATGATTTT